GAGCAAATCGACGACGCTTACTGTATAATACAGTGGCGTGTGTTGCTACGTGCAGCCGCAACGACTCGACCGAAGTGTGTTCAGTTGATGTGGCTGCACGCAGCAACAACATACACATTCCGGTCGAGTCGTTGCGGCTGCACGTAGCAACACACGCCACTATATTACACAGTATGCGTCGTCGATATGCTCGGATATATGCCGAGTTAAAACCGAAGCCATATTGCTGTGCAAATACTCAGAAAATTTTTCAAAATTTGTTCTGATAGTTTTCATTTCAGATTCAATATATTGGCAGTATTTAGTTTTCATCGAATTTTCGTTTACTCAAGCCTCATCACCACGTCAAGGTGAACTGCCACCCAAATAGCTAGAATTTTATTTGGGCCACACACAATATTGAGTAGTGTGTGAGATGAGGACCCCCGAAGGTTTTTTTTCAAGGTGGTTGTCTCCACTTAAACTATTGGCTTAAAAATACTCGCCATGACACTGGTTTTTGTGCTGTTTTGACGCTTCATGGCTTTGCACCACCAATCTATGGTTACTTCAAGTAACCGCGCAGCTTTCGTTTCGAGGGAATAATTTAATGCTCAACCAAGAAAGTACTAGCATGCCACCTCTAACCGAAAAAAATTATTAGTACTTTTGGTTTTTTTTAAATGTTGTTTTTTGTTGACTAACGCTGTCTTGGGTGATTAATTCGAATATAGAAGCCGTGCGTTATATGGCGCCAATGCTCTAAGGCTTGGCGCAGAAGTAATCTTATCACGATGGTACAATCCTGTGAAGACCATAAGGAAAAATCCATCAAGTTTCCACCATTCTCTTCCATTCGACGTATCAATCTGCTGATATTAAAGACACGGGTACGCGGCACATAGTTCAATATAAATGTCGCTATTTCGGAGACAATTACTTTTGCTCCTTGATTATGCTGCTGCATTTGTACCATTGCAAGCATCAATTCCATCGCGTATGTCTCTGGTGCAAGCGTACAGTACAGCATTCTTCTTCGGGCTGCTTCCCTTCTTAAGTTAACTAAAAATTCAAGGAATTCTTGATCCATATTCGCTGTTTTTTTTGTGCGTGTGTGTCTTTTCACTTCATTCGATTTTTATTGTTCTATTCACTTCTTTCGTTATAAATTTCGCTTTGATACTAAAAATGTTTTTCGCTTTTTCATAAAATTTGATGACACCCCTTTTATGATGGGAGTAGACTGTTCACCCTGATTGCAAACCATACTGTTCCATTCGTTCGGCATTTATGGATCTGCAGCTCAATTACGAATCATACGAGCCTACCAACTTAGCACGGCCTTGAAGCACTACAAAAGAAATTTTGACTTATTTGGTTCTGAATTTAATTATAATTTTCCAAACTATGTCAAATCTAAATTTCAAAAGTTCTTTTGTAGCTGACGAGTGTTTATACAGACCATGACAATGGACAGCACGTTGCCGCCCTGTCAAAGCTGTCATGCCCTGTGTTTTCATAAAACTTATGAAACACCGGTCACGATTCCAAATTTTTTGAAGCCAATCGGAGTCGGTTTACAGGTACCTCCCATACAAAAGTGTCAATTTTTTTAGGTTTTTCTTAGGGCAAGTACCCCAGGATCAAATTAAAAATGACTCATCTTCGAACTTAAACTAAGTTTTTGGGATACACAACTTTTGGCATTTCCAGATTTTGATTATCTCAATTATTTTTTGAGTTATCGTGTTAACAAATAGCTACGACGACAACGACAACGACAACGACGACAACGACGGCAGACATTCACTGTGGCTGCATATATAGCTGAGCTATTTACAAATAGCTGGCTGTTTGGTAAGTTTTGATTTTGTGACTATCTTGTCATGCAAATTCATGTGGTATCCACGAATTTGGGACAAAAAATGTATGTAAATGATTGAAAAGGTGTCCCACATTCTTGGATACCACATGAATTTGCATGGAAAGATAGTCACAAAATCAAAACTTACCAAATAGCCAGCTATTTGTAAATAGCTCAGCTATATATGCAGCCACAGTGAATGTCTGAACGACGGCACACGAACGAAAAAGTGTCTCAAAAAGTGGTTTTCTACGCGTTTCATGAGTTTTTATGATGATCTAAACCAATTTTGCGAAAAAAGTTTTCGGGACCAATTCCTATACTTTCCCTTGACACGGTGTGTACGGAAAAGTAAAACGGCAATGAACAGACACCTCTTTGTATTGCTATAGCGCATGGTAAACTTGAATATCTATGATCGAAAAGACGAGTTTATCTATTTCATTTATCCATTATCTTCCAGGTAAGACGATGATGGCTCAACTTCTCATCGAAAACGGAGCTAGAATATATTTTGGGGACGATGATGGGTGGACACCTCTTCATCAAGCTGCTATCTAAGGTGGTTTTAAATATTTAGGCTTTAAAGCTATGATTCAATCTATTTCATTTATCTTTTGTTTTTTAGGTAAAAATGAGGTAGTTCAATATCTCCGTGATGAAGGTGCACAGACATCAAATATCTCAACAATAATATGATATTCTTTATTGCCATTCAAATTTCGCTGAAAAATTCCCGTTAACTGAAGAGATATCCCGTGTGGGAAATTTTTGACTGACTAAAAGTGATTGTCTCGAACAAAATAAGCAACTGCAGTTAACTTTAATCACAAATCACTCTCAGTCAAAATGTCCCAAATTAGTCGACCGACTGAAAGAATAACTAAACGTGATTGTCTCCAAACAAAACACATGATTTCAATCAACTTAGCCAGTTTTAGTTGTGTATCACTATATACAGCTACATACAGCTGAGTGACTGTTAGTCACTTTATTTGCACAAAAATATGCTTACGAATGTAATTATACCGACTGTGAAATGGACCCACTGTATTTTGAATCAGAGTTTGACTTATCCGCCAGATTTATGCTATGGCATAAAAAAAATATGCGCATATTTTTTGGTACATTTGGATTTTGTGAATAACTTACCATGTAAATCATGCATTATTTTAAGAAATTTTTAGAGCTGCCCATTTTCAAGAAATTTTAAGTAAAACACTGTCCATTTTTGAGTTTTGAGCTGCCCATTTGGGATTTAGAACTGCCCAAATGGGCAAGAGCTGCCCATTAAAATAATGCATGATGTAAATTCATGTGGATACCACGATTTTTTGTCCCAAATTCGTGGTATCCATATGAATTTACATGGTAAGTTAGTCACAAAATCCAAATGTACCAAAAAATATGCGCATATTTTTTTATGCCATAGCATATATCCGGCGGATAAGTCAAACTCTGTTTTGAATTTTTAAAAGCCCAAATTCGATACCGCTGATCTAAAAAAAAATCTTCGAAATAAAACAGCAAAATCGTATTTATTTTGAAATGGTTTCGTTTATTGCATTGTTTTTTTTTATTGTTGTTGTTCAGAAAAGAAAATCTGTTGATATCACACGCACCCACACACGCACACAATGTTAAGAAAAATGGCTGTAGAACGTGGAAAATTGCAGAATTTGTTCGTGTTATGAATTCTTCAATTGGTGCTCAACCATTCTTCGTGTCAATTGTCATGTGTGTTAGCTGTTTGTGAGTGTGTTTGTATCTATTTTGCAATGAATGTTTATTTGTTTACATCAGTCTTATAAAATTTATTATTTTCTTCTTTACAAACCAACCATTTGATTTGTCATGTTGGATTGGCGAATAAATCAACGAAAATGAAGAAGCCTATTTGTGGAACCGAAAACCAAAATATGAAATGTCTATTTGGTAGAAGCAGAAAGCGTTTGAAATGTTTGTCTTGTTTTAAGGAATTTGGTTTGTCCGACACATGTGCGTACGGTTTTATGTTTTGTGTGTATTTTTGTTTCATTTTCGATCTGTATTCGTTTTTAAACATTATTTAAGAGCTACAAAACAATGACTTGGTCAAGATCATGAAAATTGAGTGTTTGAACATTTTGATAGGCATTCCGCTTCTTCTTACTTCTATTCCTATCTCTCTCTTTTTCGTTCTTGCATTTTCAATGAGTAAAGCTTGACAAACAACAACACGGCGTCAAAAATGTAAAGCTGACATCATCGCCAATGCGACTTGTCACACCTCGAGTCTCGAGATATGTTCGGTTGGATAATGGATATTTTTTTTTTTTAGCAATAAACGAAAATTCAAACAAATTTGAACATTTCTATGTAATCTTCTCTGGCAACATGTTATTTTCAAATTGTTATACTTCTATCTTTGGGTTTATCGTTCAAAATAAACTTTGGCTACTAATCTCTGTTTCTTCTTATTTGATTTCTTAACTCACTAAAATGCGAAATTTTGATCTCAATACCTACGATTAAACTGTGATATGACACGAACGTTTCGAAAAACGAGTCTACTGAGTTGTTTTTTTGTTTAGGGTTTGTCTCAACTTTAAATTTCTACAAAATTTAACATGATTTTTTCGTCTGGTTGCAAATGAGGTCCATGCCTGATGGGCACAATTTCTTTGTTTATTTTGACAATTGCTAAATTGTCCAAGATTTGAATATCCACCTAAAATTTTCGTTGAAAAACAAGTTTTGAATTTTCCAGCAGTAGAAGGTAAATAAATATCAAGAAATGATGGAGGAAAATTATTTTTTTTGGTGAACTGTTGGCTGAACTTATTTTTCTTGGTTTTATTCAAATGTAGAATGTTTCAATTAGACTGTAACTGACTTAAGTTGAATCAATCAACATGATTTAAATTAATCAAAACCTCAGCAGGACTTCAAGTTGAAAAACTCAACCGAATTTCAAGCCAATTGACATTTTCTAGTGATTCCAATTTGAATTGACTTCTATAATGACTGAGTCCATTACCAACGAATTTCATAATCAGATTACAAATAATTCGTTATCGGGAAGGGTTTTTTTTCTAATATCGAATCAGGCGAACAGGTCTCGGATTAAAGGATTTTTTTTTCATTCAACATCTGACAAAAATTAGCTCGGAAGGTTTCTTTCTTATTAGATCCGCTGATATTTGGACTGATGTGCCGAATTTTCACACCATAGGAATTTGTCGATCGGAAACTTAAATAATTCATTTCTTTTTATACTCCTAAGCTATTACAAATAAGTTATTAACTTCGAAAATCAAAAATAAAGAGATTAATTCTAGCGTTTGGATGATTTTGTGTCTTCATTTTTATCTTTTTCATTTAAATCGCTATTTACATAAGATAACAACTAAATTTTCATCAGCACTCTACCTCATGCTATCTCTCATTTTCACTGAGCGAGCTATGTATATATATTTATTTATAATTGTGTGTGTGTGTTGAAATGTGAAAATGCGTTCCACAATCATAATGTGTGGCCATGGGCAAATTGTATGGCATCCAACCTCGAATGCGCTCGAATATGCGTTTTTTCTTTAGAATGAATTTTTTTTTGTGTCAATTATGTTTTGGTTTCTTCTCATCGTTAAATATGTATAAATAAATTAAATTTGATGATGTGTTTGATATTTTGGAATACTATATTATATAAATATGGCGAATTCAAAAAAAAGGAACACTGGCTGCCAGCTACCCTCCGATCGATTTTATCGGCCGTTTCGATATTTGCGATCGCTGGATTTGGATCGGCTTCGACGCAGTCGTGATGGCCATCGATTGTTATCACTTTCACTTTCGTCGGAACTGTGCTGGCTGCCGTTGCAGCTTTGATTCCGTGCCGACCTTCGACTATTCACCGGACTTTGATCGTTGCGTGGCTTGTGGCGATCTTCGTCATACGATGCCGACGATTCGGATGCATTGTGCGTTTGGCTGAGCCATGACTGGCCCGAATAACCACTACTGCTGTGTTTGGTGCGATTGGGTTTTGGCAGTGAATCGGGACATGGATCGGGTGGTGGTTCCAATTCATTTTCGTCCAAAAATTCCATATTGATATTACGATAGTATTCTTCGGTCGGTTCACCGCCATAGTTGAAGAAATTTTTACCTAAACTTGGATCGCATTCTTCGTACAATACTGAACCGCTTTCGTAGTCATTTTCCTCTTCGATTTCGGGCGATGTGTTTCGATGACGTTTGTAGTTTTGATCGTCGGGTGGCTGTTGTTGTTGCTGCTGCTGTGCTTGCTGATGCTGTTGCCAATTTTGTGGGAAGTGTGGCACTGGCGGAGGAAGAGTTGGCCAACGCAATTGACCACCAGCCACCGGACGACGACATATTTGCGGCGACATTGCTACTGGATTCGTTCGTATTGTCATACTCGCCATATTCGGCTTGTAGTATGGATGATCGGGCGGTGGTGGCAACACATCGCATATGTTCAACGGTTCACGAACTGGCGCATTGTATTCACTCGACGATGGACTCGCCGAACATTTGATACACGAATCATCGGATTGTGCACCACGTTGCAACGTCACCTATAATGTTCCGAAAATTGGAAAGGTTATTATTTGAAACATTCGGAAATGGCTTAGACGATTCGTGTTGAGATGTTTGCTATTTTTCAATTGACATTTGAAAGTCTTACCGTTGCATATGGCTCTGGTGGTGCAGACACATTCATTGCCTTTGGCATTATTTGCGCCACTTCCGCGTATTCCGATGCGAGATTCGCATTTGGCGCCGTCACCGAATGCATCGGCTTCAATAGTGTGTTACCGTGTAACCAAAGTGTATGTTGCTTATCGGGCAGTGTGGCAGTCAAAATTGGTCCTGTTTCATGGAAATTGATAGAAAAATAAAAACGATCATTCAATGCAATATTAAAAAGTTCATTTTTTTGATGATCTAAATAAGGATCAGAAGGGATTGTGTTCCTTTATTTCAAAATTATGTTAGGACACTATTTCCAAGCGCACGATAGCAAACGATCGCAATCGATTGCATGAGCATTGCTCATTGAGCAATCGTGCCTTGAAAATAGTACCTTCACACGCAAGTAGTGCGTAGAAATTCTTTTTTTGCCTAGAAAAAGAAGATCAAATTTACCTGGATACGATGCTTTCATGTTGCGTTTATTTTTGCGAGCCCAATACAAGGCAAATATGGCTCCACTGATTAACGATATCACTAGAATGGCCAATGCGATTCCAGACATCCAGGTTGTTGCCCAAGTACCAACCGTTGGATCAGTTCTGTAAACAAATGGAATCGTTAGAATTTCACGTCACAATCAATCATTTCCAATTTTTCAATTTCGATCATTTTCTACTGAATTTTTCAATTTTTATTTCAAAGATTTAAGTCATAAGTGCTTAATATTCCTAGCCTAAATTGAGTAATGAATATTTTTCTTCCTTCCACGAACGACTTTTCATATTGGATCATATTGACCAATATGAAAAGATTCGAAAAAACTTGACTTTTTTTTAATTCAATGAAAAGAATGGATAAATTTCAAAGGGACGAATCGAAAATCTTCATCAAAATACCCTTTTTTGTACACAAAATAAAATGCATTGGTTCTTCAAAAGAAAGTACGTCCCTTGAGAACACTTATTTATTTTAAGAAGAGATTTTTTTGCAGTATTTTAAGAAGTGGTTATTGAAACGATATCGAAATCAGGATCAAAAGTCCCACATTCTATCCTGAATCACGTAATTTTTGTGGTATTTTTTTTTGGCTTTAATCTCAATTTTTTGTATCGACACACGAACAATGTTTATTGAACATGATGACATGAAGTGAATTGTGTTCAATTTGAACACTGATTTTCTTTCAATTGTTTTGCTTTGACGAACTACTTACTTTGGCGGTCGAGAAATGAATGATGGGTCCATGTGTAGTGCAGCTGGTGTACTGTACGGTCCTAGACCGCCTGCTGTTTGCGCTGCAACTCGTGCCGTATACCGACCACCTGGATTCAATGAATTTATTACTACCGACTGAGTGGTTGCATTCAACGACATTTGTCCCAGCAATTTGTTTGTTACATTCGACTTGATTTGAATCTGAAATTCGCAAAAGATGGTTTAAGTAAGTTGAAATTTTGATTTGCCAGTTGAGATTCTCAACTTGAGAAAAAGAAATTGTTTTCATGCGAATGAGACAGATGAGAGAATTTTCATTAAACTTCTGTTTAACGTACAAAGCAGGTAAAAACATTCATGCAAAAGAGATTCTTACTAGTTTACGTCAATGAGTCGTTTACCTTGTAGCCCGTTAATTCACCATTGAGCATATCCACTGGGGGTGGCGACCATCGAACAAAAGCTGCGGTGGTATTTATCACTCCGACTCGAATGTCGGTAGGTGGTGAGCTCGGTGGACCATCCAATGTTTTGCCTACAAGTAAGTAAGACAATTTGAAAAATGGATCAATTTATAATTGTTTGGTAATTTCTCTATCCTCTTTGTTTTCGATTCCACAGTCAATTTGTTGTTCTACGTTTTCTTTCTTTCTCTCCTACTTCATTGAATACAAGTCAATTTATCTCAACAATAAAACCCTTACCTTTTCGTATATTCGAAATGGAGCCGCTTAATCCATGTGGAACCGATGCGAATACCTCGTATTCGGTGTGTGCTCGAAGATCGTTGATTGTATACTCTTTGGCGTCAATCATGGCGCTGGCCGTTTGGAATTCATTCGAGCCGACAATGCGATAGTGAAGTGTCAACGATGTGGCTGGAATGCCATCATTCGTTTCCCAATCAATGTCAAGGGAATTTGGTGATGTAGCGAGCACGGAATTGATTAAAATATTCTGATCGTTGGAGAAGCGATCGCTCGAGCCAATTGCATCCAAAGATGCGGGCACATTTTCGCCATCCTTACCGTTTGAACTATTGATTACACGTATGAATATCCGCTTAATCGTGGATCCGGCTTCATTCAATGCGGCACATCCATACCAACCCTGAAATGACAATTTTGTTTTGATATTTTCCAAAAGTCAAACATTTTCTGAGAATATTTTTCAAATTTCAGGGATTTTGATTCAATTCCAATGAAATTCTTTAAATCAAAAAAATTATTTTCATAAAAGACGATTTTTAATTTTAAAAAAACACCTTTGACAACCTTTCAACTAAAGAAAACGTTATCCCTGTGATAAAAAGTCCTGTTTACTCACCTGATCACGTTCTGTTACGTCCAATAAAATCAATTCACCATCGTCGGTGACCTGTAATCGAGACACTTCTTGCGGTGCCTGTGTGGAGAACACCAAAATTGGAATTGCATCAGGTGTTTGGTCATCGTCACTGTCGATCGTATCATCATCGATTTGGCGCTTTTTTCGCAGCAATTTTTGCAATATTTCTTGATTTTCATCGCGCATAATTTGATCAAAGGCTCTTTGGCGCTTGTAACTTTCACTTTCGGTTGAAATGTCTGGTTTCTTTTGGATAATCGAGCGTTTTGATCGTAGGCTCATGATTTTTGCCTTGGCCAAAAGGTCTTCTTGTGTATCCTTCTCCAAATATTGCGTAATTTTACTATTCATTTGATGCTGATGCTGCAGCTGCGATGCAGCCGAATTCCCAATACGATCCCAAATGATACGCGGCTTTGGACGACCTTGAGCTCGGCATGGCAACTTTACTGAACCACCTTCATTCACTTCCACATCGGTGGGCGCTTCAATGAACGATGGAGACGCTGTGGAACGAAAAAATGTAGAAAAATTTTCAAATTCCAATTCAAAATTGGACAATGTTCGGATTTAATTTGTAAATCGACCAAAGAATCTCTAAATAGAATGGTTATCACCAGGCAATCATAGCAAACGATTGAAAAAAATGTGCACAAAAAAACAAAAAGAAAAAACATTTCTCCACCAAACTCACCATAAACGAGAATTTTCACAGCAACCGAAACATTGCCACCTTCGTTGTGTCCCTTGCAAATGTATCGACCTTGGTCTTCGGGCCGTGTATCTTCCATGCGCAATGTGTTATCCAGTAAAATTCGTGATCGGCCATCGGGCAGTTCGCCATTCTCGCGATGCCACGTCACCACCGGCACTGGATCGCCTTGAATCTAATTCACACACACACAAAACAAGTACATCGGTTAAAATGAGGTTAAGTATCGTTCCAAAAACCGGAGAGGTTATTTCCAATTGGAATTCAAAGTCGAAGTGTCAAAATAAATATTTAAGTAATATGATGAAATAAATCCTACTTCGCACGGCAAATCAAGACCGTCGCCTTCTATGACTTCAGTGTCTTGCGGTCCACGCAAAACGGTCGGCGGTGCCAATACTTTGAGCATAGCCGGCGGTGCGGTTCGACTTCCAGCCTGATTTTGTGCCGAACATTCATATTTTCCCGCGTCCGATGCTTGTACTTCTGATATCAACAAACTGCCTGAGTCCACCGTTGACAGCCTGTAATTTTTAATTTGCAAATATTTTCATTCATTTTTCTTCAAGAAATTCATTTATTTGAAGAAAAAAAACTAAAAAAAAATCACATTTGATTCAACACACAACAAACAAGAGCATGTTTCAATCCCGCCTGTTTCGGAACGCAAGTGACAGTTGACAGTTAGACACAAAAACAAAATACATGACATTTCAGATCTCAGTTGCATTGCGTTCAATACAGACGTCTTTCGTTGAAATAGAAATAATCGTTGCAAAAAAAAACAAATATTGAAAATCAGAAAAGTATTTTTGAAGTGGAAAAAGTCGAAAAGAGAGTGCAAAAAACACAGAAAAATGTCTGAAGAAACGGATATTTTCGACGTTGAACGTGAAAATGTTGCGGACAATAGTCAAACGTTGGTGAAATGTGCCATTTGTCAAGATGTTGTTGAAAAGACCAAGGCTAGTTTTGTTGACTTGTGTTTCCATCAGTATTGTTTTGATTGCTTGAAGAAATGGTGCGAGGTAAGTGAATGTTTTGTTTTTGTTTGTTAGTTGGACGAGATAATTTTGAAGTATTTTATGGAATCTCGATTGAGTTATTGTGGTTCAGTTCGGTTAATCTTCAGTTGTGTCAATCTATATCGTCCTTTTGCGACCAATTATGTTAACTTCTAGAGAAAAGAATGAAATCCGAACGACTTGTTTGTGTGAATGATTCAAGTATAATCAAAAAAAAACAATTGAAACCTCTTTAGAACACATTGACATTGACAGTGTAACACCCAGTTTCTTCATTACTTGAGTTTTACGGAATAAATTTCGATTTTAGGTTAAGGCCGAATGTCCATTGTGCAAACAAAAGATCGAGAAAATCATTCATGACGTCAAATCACCACAAACGTACAAAGAATTTGTTCCACCGATGACCAATCAATCGCTACTGCGCGCCCAACTCGAACACAGCTTTGATTTCAATCAAACATTCAGCTCGGACGATGACGATGACGGAACGGTATTCCGAATGGCTTTTCGTGCACCCGATCTATTGCGAATGTTGCAACCAAATGTTCTGATGCCCCGACGATTGAACATTGACACAATAAATGCCACAGACACATCCAGGTAAGTGAGACTAATGTCGATTGGTCATTGAATATGGTTGCAATGGGAATTGTCATTGAATGTGGTTAAAAAATGGTGTTGCTCCGAGAGATTCTCTCCGAGAGATAAAAACTAATGGAGAGACAAAAATTGTCGAATATTCAACGGAGAGATAAAAAATACCGTTTTAAATTTTTCTAAGAAAAAAAATTGTCGCATCATCAAAGTGATACTCAATCATTCTATTTTCGTATTCTTCCATTCTCTCCTTTTGATTGTGATTTTTTATAAAATGCTGCATGTGATTATACGAAGCTAATTGTTTATGAAACGTTTTGTTTACATTTCGTTGTTAGCACATCGAATGAGGGATTGAGTGTTGAGGAAAGCGACGAATCAGATGCCGAAGCAGTGAGCGAACCAAGCAACGCATCAATCGCTGAATCAGATGACATTTTAAATCGATTCAATGACGATTTGGATGACGAATTGGAGGACTTAAATGACGTGTCAATCATTGAATCGCAACAATCGATCATTTCCATTAGTTCAGACAGCGATTCCGCACACAGTGATCGTGAAGAGCTACCGGAAATCACAATCATTACACCGAGATCATCGCCTGAATTATGGTAATGACCACGCTATGAGCTTAAAAATAGCCATTGCCAATTGCTACGAACTCAACCGTCGCAAATTACGAAGTACTCAACAATAACATGACATCCAACGAAACGGACTCATCATCATTTACAACTTTATATAAGGCAATATCTATTTCATACACAAATTTATCATTTATTGAAGAAATTAAAATTGAAAAAAAAAAACGAGTTAACTATTATGTAAGACAAAATCGAGGAAATATGAAAAATTGAAAATGAATTTTAAGCTAAGGTAAATATTCTACTCAGTCAATTAATGCTGTGAGTTGAGCTCTCGTGTTGCAAAAAAAAACTTGAACAAACACATGTAAACCAAATAAAATGTAAACGAATAACAATGACAATTAAAGGCAATTTGCCCCATTCCATAATGATGTAAATTAAGTGCCAATGTAGGTTAAGTGATCAATCAATCAAATGAAACAGAAATAAAATCACTTTTTGAGGTTATTTACAAATTGAGTTGTTTTTTTTTTCAATCAAAATAGACGTTTCTGTTGACCATTTATGTTTTCAAATGCCCAATGCCCATGGAATGCTGAAGCTTTTCTATATTTTAAGTGAGTTCTTTTCTTTTGTATGTGTTCTTTTCCTCTGCTCTACTTCATTATACCGAATAACTTGACACCCATTATACATGTCGTATTCCACAATTTACGTACAATTTTCGGTTACATATTCAAATCACTGCCATAATTTTCTACATTAAAAACGTATTTGGCCACAGTTTGTCATGTCGTTTTTCGTCACATTACAAAAATCACCGTATCCAACCATTTGAATTGAAAGTTTGAATACAATGTTCAAGATAAATGAGAGTAGTTAACATGTTTCCACTTGTCTTGGTTGCTTAAATTGAACCGATTTCTTCGGATGGAAAGACAGTAGTCGATAACAAGGGCAAGACTAGTTGAAAAGATGGGTTAAAAAAAAGTGAAGCATTGCATGGAAATTGTTGTCGTCCACTTTTAGGTCAGTGTGGATCATTTCAATTCATTGAACTGGAAGTTAACAATTCCTTTTTTAAAAAATTCATGATGATGCACCGTAAAGTAATTGACCTTTTTTTCCCCTCACCAAAATGCTGATAAAGAATTGGTTGTTGAAAAATTCAATTAAATTTTAATTATATTTTTTTTTTCTGTCGGGTTTATAAATTCACGTATCGTCATGCAAATCCAATGTCATATCTATGGTTATAGATGTTTTACATATGAAACATAAATTGCATATGCTTCATACATCAATTTTCAGCTCATAAAAAATGAAATAAATGTGTGTTTGTGTGTGTTTTATTTAAAATAAAACATTCCTTACCTTTTTCCACTTAGATCAAGCGATTTCCCGTTCATATACCACAGCACGCTCGGCTCAGGTACACCTCTCGGCGGCGTACAATTCAGTACAACTGGTCCGCCAACCAATGCTACCGTATCCTTTGGCACCAAACGAAAATCATCTCGCAATACTGCAACAGGAAGAACAGAATTAAAAAAAAAATTGGAGCGTACACATTATTAAAACAAAACGACTTTATAATAATAAAGTTTTTCAGTGGGACATTATTTTAATGACTACACTACTTGTTGTTTTTCCCCCTATTTCTCTATCATACTCTTTCTTTCCTCCCTCTCTTTCTTTTTTATGCTACCCCAATCTCTCTCTCTGGAAAGTGAGAGAGAGCTCTTTCCAATTTTTTCCTCTCTTTTCCTCTCTTTTCCTCATTCTCTCCGTCTCTCCTTTCTCTCTCCCTCTCTTCCTTTCTCTACTGCTTTTGTTCAAAAAAGTATGATTAAACTGGAGCCAATCACGTAATGACAAGCTCAATTTCAAGCCGAATAATTTTTCCGTCGAAATTAAATTACAAGTTTGTTGGCAGCAGCAGCGGCAGTGGCAGTAGCAGTGGTAGCAGTAGTAGTATTAGCACACGAAACGGTATTCCATTAATAAGTTTGTAATAAAATGTGCCCGTTATTAACAAAAAATACCGTCTCTTCATACAGAAAAATGTCAACCTTTTCTTATTCGGGAACAACCGTTCGATTTGGAAGCGGGCCATTTAAATAACAAAATAGATCGTAATACCGTTTTGAATCACTAATGAAAAGCGTTGAAAAGTGTATTTGACTCAAAAAAATGCCAACCACTTAGATAAGATAAAAACTGGCACACTCCAAAACACATTCATATTTACCAAAGTGAATCGAATAAAAAACAATTTCCAATGCGCAATACTAAATATGATGGGCCATTTACGGCAAACAAATGTATTTATATGGGTATTCAATTTAATTCAGTCCTCCCCATCATATTGTTAAAATGAAAAGCATTTCAATTTTTGTTGCTGTTGTGCTCGAGAGGATGTTTACATTGAAAATGATTCATATTTTAAAATATGGACATACGAAAAAAAAATAACTATTTTGTTATTTATGAAAAGCATCATCATCCGCAACCTATTTTTATCGGTCGTAAGCCAGCGACTTTTTTTATGGTCAATTTTTCAATTTTTACGATTCAATCCTTTTTTTATGACTTAACGTCAGCATTTCGTTTTTTTGTTGTTGCTGCATTGCGTTGCGCTGCGCTGCGAATGTCTCAAAGTGGGAATTTTTCAAGTGGGAATAGCATTGATGATTGAAACGGGAAACCGGAAAACAGGATTGAATGATCGCCAAGGGCCAAAATGACCAATTGACCGATATCGCAATTGTATACACATATTTACACACATGGACTTTAAGCAAATATCAACATGATGGGTCCCATTATTGACATTGAATTCATGCTGCGAATGCTGACATGCAACTGAATGGGCTCTTGAAGCTCTATGCGGACAGCGAGTAGCGATAGAGATGCGACACATACACACCGACGGAGAGAGAAAGAGAAGTGACACAATGGGAAAACGAGCAGAAAAAAAAACTCGAACTGCTGAAAAGTGTTCAAACATAATAGAAACTGTCATTTCACTTAAAATCGACCTGCTTATCGGTGTTAATCCATTCAAATTCCGGTGCAACGGCATCAATGTATAGCGTGACATTTGACCGCTTGAAAATGACAAACATTGATACACGTTACACGAAACACACGGATATATTATATCGAGAGGCTCTCGCTCTGTTTGTTATTATCTTGAGTAGAAACAAAGCATATTGCATGCACAACACTGATAATAACCTATAAAATTCCATCCATTTTTTTTGTTGTCCATACAAGTTTGTTAAAGGTAAACTGATGGGTGGAAAGGGGAATGAGAGTGAGAGCAAGATGAAAATAGTGAAGGTGGAAGGCTAAGAGATGGAGAGAATGAGTTGGAAAGATGGACGGAGGGAGATAGAGAGCAAGTAGAACAAGTTGTGCTTTTGGAAAGTTACAGAGAAAATAAGAGTGGGCTTGAGATAGAAAGACATACAGAGAGCGAGAGAGAGAGAGAAAGGATGAAAGAGGTAAAGCGAGTGCTTTGGGCAATGCAAAAACTTTTTGCACTCGCGCTCTTTTTCGATTAGGGGGAAATTAGTGTCAGAAACTTTGTTTTGCCTATCGAAAATGTTCACACTTTTGTTTGGCTTCATTTAAATGTGCTTATTTTCCTTTTTTTTCGAGGAGCAAAAATTAAAAGCCATCCAAAAAATATTCATAAGCACATTGATTTTTATGATGTTTATAGGAATATGGTGCATATGTGGAGTACAATTGCCAGAAGATGCGCTACTACTTTGATATTACGTCCAATATCACTTTTTTCTGTTGTTTGCTCGCAACTGCTGAAAATGTTGTAGTAGACGATAGAAAGCGGCGACATGGAAAAAAGGACAAAAAGACAGATTGAGCGAGAGAGGGAACGAGAGAGAAAAAGGGAGAAAATGCAAGAGAGATTGGAACAGGGAATGGGAAGATAGAATGAGCGGAACAGAGAGCAAGCCGGAGCAGGGCGGAATGAAAGAGTAATAGGAAGCGCGCGAGAGAATAAGTGGAAGAGCAAGTGAGAGAGTATGTATGAGAGCATTATCAAAAGGAGTGCAGTGGAAAAAAGCAGCGCTCACGATAAGAATGGTAAAAGACAAAACGGACAAAACGGTACAAAGAAGCAGATGACAAAAGAAATGACTGAACGAGCTAACTGGCATGGCAAGAGTTGGAGGAAATCATTAAATATGACATAACACAGATACAACTGCAGGGTTCACTTTGGAACGCCACTTTATGAAAGCTCAACACACAGCCAGTCAGCAAGCCGGTCCAACCAACCGACCGACCGTATGATGGAATGAACAAGAGGCAGAAGGAGCGACCAAGTGGGAGAAGAGACGCAGCGGTAAAGGCGAAATTGAAACGATGTATGCAGAAATTTCAATGGTCACAATCATTCCACTATGTATACCATATACACTATAAGTGTAGCGAAACATTGAGTTGGCATTTAGCCAAGAAATGTTCATTTATCTGTGTATTCTGTCGCCTCGCCCTTGCCACCACATACAATTTCGTTACGTTGTCGGCATTTCTTCTCTCTCTCTCTCTCTCTCTCTCTCTCTCTCTCTCTCTCTCTCTCTCTCTCTCTGCTTGCCATCGATGTACGGCCGACCAACCGCCCCGTCCGCCACCTCTCACAATTTAATGAACAGAATACATCATTGAACCATTTCCATGTATCGTTTACATGTCTCACTCCAACGGCAGCGATGACCATTGAGCATTGTATTGTTGCGAATATATTGTTGTTTTTCGATTTGTATATTTGAATACATTCATTCGCTGCCTTTTTTTTAACTGCTGTTGGTGGTGCTGCTGCCACCGCCACAGCCACCGCCACCGTTGCCTCACGGAATGGAATTAATGAAACAGCCCCTGTTTCGCGGCGTGACCAATACATCATATCCGTGTTTGTGTGCTACAAAATCTATACAATCACACACACACACATTTTCATTAACATGTAGCGTAGATTGCGGCTTTTTGAATCCCAGACCAATTATTACGTAACGCATAGCCGAAAACGACGACGACGACGACGACAACAACAGCTTTATTCGCATCGAAACCCATGCCGCACATCGATTTTCGGCGTGTCTAGCTACAACATTTTTGCCACATACACTCTGTCTCTCTTTAGCTATCTCTTTCTCGATGTGTCCTTCTCTGTCTTTCTTTCACTCCCTCTATACTCTTCGTATCTATCTCTCTCTTTTTGCGTCTCTTCACCCAATTTCGGCCAAAAATTCGAACACGGCGTTTTTTTCTTCTTCTTTTTCTTTCGTTGCACTCTTCGTCTATCTCATTCACATCACAACTGATTCTTTCGGTCGCTTAACACAAAATCTTCACGCGGAGACACTTTCTCTAATAGAAAACCACTCGGTCTATATGAATGTCCGAGAATGAAAACGCAACTTCTATTCACAACACATATAAGTGAAACAAAAATAAAAATTTTTATTGAAATGAAACAACAAAATCGAATTTTTTCAAAGTGTAACAACAAAAAAGATTTTTTCAAAGTGTAACATCGGTATGTAGTAAGTGTAACAACATA